GCGGCTTTATTAGCGCCGCTGCTCATTAGAGGGGAACCACCGCCACCGGCAAGGCGGGAGCGCCGAGTCCCTGCGCCCGCCCTGGTGTCACCGGTGCTGCTGCTCACCCCTGTGCAGGGACACGGAGCGGGGCTGTCCTGTGTCCCCTTGGTGGCCTGTGTCCACGCGGGATCGGCCTGGCTGGGGCCACGGGGTTCCCATCTCACCTGCAGCGCGGACACGAACTGGATGGTGCTGACGAGGGCCAGCGAGGCGCCCGCGGGGAAGTTGAAGCGCAGCGTCTCGAGGAAGTGCGACGTGTCGATCTTGATGTCCACGAAGACGTAGAGCATCTTCAGCCCCTGCGTGGCATCGATGGGAACTGGCGACAAGGGAGAGATGGGCATAAGGAAAGGCCCCACTGGCACCCTGGGCATCGGGACGAGCCCCACACGGGCACCCTGACACACTTTGGGGGACACCCAGCGCCCCAGCAACTGCCTTATTTAGAGCCACCTCCCAGGCAGTGCCCCTTCCTGCTCACTTATTACTTCTTACTCCTTTCTGCTGGTGGACGGATGTGTTGGCAGTGCGTTCCGCGCTCGCCGGGCTGGGAAGGGCTATGCCACCCCTGTGCCCGCGCTGTCACCCCGGGCACCCGCAGCCGGGAGCGCCAGGGAGCACCCGGTCATCTCTCGCTGGATAATGGCAGCCCAGGGAATCAGTGAACACAAATCTAATTACCCTCGGTGCTAAGAAGCCTGTGTCACCACGATTAAGTGAATAATTAAAGTACACAGAGTCTGCATCGATCCACAGCTCCACATTCACTTCCCATTTTGGTGCTCTTCACCTGATCACAATTAAGTGCAAATTACTCCCTCCTGCAAAGCGGAGCTGGACAGGGTTGGAGAAGGAAAGCGCCTTTCCGGGGAAGAAGCCCCTTGGCCCAGCAGGAGCCGAGCGGCTCCCGAGCGTCGCTGCCTCCTTCCGCCCCTTCTTGCTGTTAATTGATCTAATAGCTGGCTACAAAGCTGGAGTTTTTATGTCCGCTGTTTCAGCGGTGCCTGCAACCCTCCCTTCTGTAACAAAGCACCAAGTGTGGATATTTATTGCCACGAACGCTCGTGCTGACATGGCTTTTGGGACACAGCTCTCAACGGTTAACTCAGTATTTCACAGCATGGTGCAATCCATAAAATCCTAAAGAGCCCCGTAAATGTCCAAGGGCTTCTCTGCCCCCATGGGGACCCGTGGGGTCCCCGACACCCAGCATGGGCAGTGACACAGGGTGCCAGGAGAGCGGCCAGGCGCAAGGCCCTGCAATTCTGCCGATCCACCTTAAAACCCGTAGTGTCTTATTGTTATTTTTGGGCTGATTCCATCCTGTGTGGACTTCAAAGTTAGCAGCATCTGGGACAGCAGCGCAGTTTCCATGGCAACCGAATCCAGAGTACCGTTCCGCCTAGGGAGCGCGCAGCCTCCTCCTTGCTTCGCCTTCAAATGAGCCGCCGCGCCGGCAAAACGCGCTGCCCGAGCCCGCGCCGGCACGGGGGGCGGCCACCGACCCCCCGAGCACGGCCAAGGGGGCCCATTCAGGTCCCCCATGGAGCTTCATGGATGTTGCTCTCCTCCCCGGTTGCCCCTGACCTTGCTCCTGACATCCCGAGCTCCGGGAGCGAGGTGGGAGCAGCCGTATTCCCGCTGGCTGCTCCAGCGAGCGGTGGGGTGCGAATGCTCCCTGGCCGCTCACCCCGTTTTGCGAATGCTCCCAATTGGCGCCCAGGGTGCAGGACGGAGCCCCGCGGCCCGGCACGGCCATCGGGAAGCAGCTCCGCACGGCTGGACGTTCCCAAACCCTGCCGGCGGGCAGGGAAGCGGCAGCCCGGCCCCGTCCAAATAAAGCAATCAAGGCTGGAGGAGAGAAATCCCTTCTTAAAGGGATTAGCACTCAGCGTTGAGCACTCGAGCTGGCATCAAGCGTGCCGGGGAGCCCCGGGGC